ATGTTAACATCTAAGTATTTATTTATCTATTTAACACTTTTATTTTATATATAAGTATATATAATATGTGTGTATGTGTTTATGAATGTATTCTATTGATTAATTATTTCTTTCATAAATCTTATTGCACCTCCAATGTAGTGTTCTCTGCTTACTTATAACTTATAGGTTGACTGATAGGGAACAACTTAAGACGAAGTACGTCTTTGTAATTTATATTGTGCAATAAAGATTAAATAAATAAAATAGGTAAGAGGCTGTTATGATGTTATGAACTCCTAAGTTGAGCATGACTCGAGTCCTAACACCTAGTGACGACTCCTTTGATAAAAACATTTGCGGTAGCGAAGCGTAACAACTCAGCATAACATTATGTTCATATGCCAGGATTGTTTACAATACGTATAACATGAATTATTTCAAAATGTAAGTTGTTTTACAAAATGGCATTGCAAAATGTTATTGCAAGGATTTTTAAAAGGTTAAATCATTGCGTTATTCGACTCGTAAGATGTGGTGTTATGTAAAATGCCAGATAGATCAAATGGCCTCCGATAGGTTGCGGTTTAACGTTTAACCATCTTATTGATGTCAGATGTAAAACACCCAAATCGGCGACAGGGCTTCGAAGGTGTGTCATCTTGGTTTCTGTCTGTCTGTGATCATTGTTATGAATGTTAGCATAGTCATAGCTATGAATGTTAACTGTGTACTTAAATGTACTACTAGATTTACATTGTTTTACTTTATGTTATGTGAGAAGATAAATAAAGACTTTATTATTATTAAAAAAAAAAAATTGTAGTATAGTTGTAGCACGAATGAGTCGGCTCGACCGGGGAAGGACCACGCTCTCACAGAATACCAGCGTAAAATGGCAGCTTGACACTGCTGTGTTTCTTATGGTGAGTGTAGAGAACCGGAGACCCATTTTAATGGAAAAGAAGCATTCCATCATAGTCCTCACGGGTTTGGCATACGGCATTTTGATTCTTTATTGAGGATAAATATAGATATCTGTGCTCGTTTGCCACCCTATCCTATATAAAAAGAAACCTTCTTACTATTTTTGCCACGGATCAACAGTGCATCCCCACAGTCATGTCCCAGTTTGAAAGGTAAAAAATTCAGTATATTTACAGCCTATGTGAGACTTAATTCCACATTATATATTATATACTACACATTAAATGAAACTAACTTTACGGATTTTATCGCGATTAATTTAAATTTTTCTTACCTATTCTTAATTCCATCTTAGTCTTTAGAGGTGAAACTGCCTGTTACGCATGATTTTACCCGATTACCCCAAAAGGAGGGTAATTTTTCTTGAGTGTCACTGTGTATGTATTTCTATTTCTTTGGCACGCTCCGTAGCCTAAACGACTTGATGACTTTTAACATTAAGAGGTGTCGTTAAATTCTTCTTAGTTGTGAAAGTGAAATATGGCTTGCGAATCGAAAAAGAGAGTAGGCATACAATATTAACATGTAGGTTTTAAATAGAAAGTAGTTTTATACATGAACTTCTTCAATAATAAAAATAAAACGTTTCAAATAAACTTAATTATTAAAAACAAAAACCCAACTGCGTAATCAATATTATGCGTAATAAAAGAGAAAAACAAGCTCTATATCTATAGGACTTTGTTTGTGCAACGTAGAATTTGTACGTCTCCATCTTTTGTTTAACTACGTAGAAATTGTAAAATGTACAGGACAAATCTTAGTGTTTTAAGTATTTGAGGCTGACTTGATTGTAGTGAGGGTAAAGGGGCTATCATAATGCTTCTCTGATGTGAAATCGAATAATTTGAGTATTGTATAAGGTATAAAAATATTCACTACACCATATCATCGCGTGATTGTCGTAAGAAGCGACATAAGGAAACTGAAACAGTACAGATGACAATGTATAATTATAAAAAACAAGTTTGACAACTATCGCAATTACACTTGTGTAAGGCTTTCTATGAGGGAGGCCTATTTTCAGCAGTGTACTTTTGATAAGCTGTAATTATGATGATGAAATTGACTTTGTTTATTTAAACCCAAGATTGACAGCCAGGTATGTTGAGTGCATATTATGTAAAGAATGCTTTGTACGGTTAACGTAGTCGATTTTGCCAACGCCGCGGTGCAACGACCTAGTTATCGTAACATCGCACGTTGCAAGAGCGAAGGAGTGGACTGATTTAATCGTCATGGATTTTTGAAACAATTTTAAGCCAATATTATACAGGGGAAAATATATGTTTATCTTAAAAACTATTGTATGAAAAATTCTTTCGATACAAAAATTGGTAAACTAACCTCTTAAACCTTCCAGCAAAGATATAATGCATAACCTATTAACGTAGTTAGATAAAATTAATAACAATAACGCAATACAGAAGATTGTTGTTTTTAATTTTCGAATACTTAACATATTTCAGGATTGTTTTGCTTTTTGTGATAGGTAAGTTACAAGCGCCCTGTCATCGCGCTTCTCTTTCTTTTCTTTTAGGACAGTAAACAAATCTAGCTAGCTTAATTATCTGTTGTCAGCGTCTTTACTATAAAATTACTATTCTAAATACTTTTACAGAGTTCGCAATTTGTGTTCTGTTGTGTTTTACTGCTCTCCTGCATAAACCACCGTCAATTATCTACAATTGCTTGTTCCCAAATTTCTGAATTTTTCTGGCACCATGTGCATGGGCTACACAAAAAAATCAGTACCTTTTATAAAATACTCTTTATTCAGTATTTTTGTAACTCTAGTATGTATTACTAATCTACGAACAATTTAAAATATTCCAGGTCGAGTTAACGAGAGCAAGAGCTATTCTCTACAATCGTAGAGTAAGTACCTAAGGGTATTCTTTATAAACGTAGAATAAGGGAATTCTCTATACAAAGAAGTGCAAGTACTGCCATTTGGTGGCAGAAATAGCTAAAAGGGCGAACTTCTGGACAAAAACCTTACCACTTAGGGCTGCTGATCATCCATCCATCTCCCAAGAACGACATTTAACGCAAATTCTCCCTACAACCACTTTTACGAGTTGGTGGAAAAATAGAAAAAAGAACGGTTATTTACAACCCTAAAACGGAATTTTAAGTACGGCTTGATTGTCATTTTTAGATTTTTTGGTTCTTTTTTACATTATTGTAAAGATGGCTTGCATTTTAAACCACGTTGACACGACAACTGCGCATGAGACCTATTTAATATTATTGAAAACATATAAATTACTAACTTACTCGGCCTTAAAACAATCGAAGCCAAATATTATATGCATACGAAATCACGGGCACAGCTAGCACTTAATATTGGTGTCACAAGTAAACGGGCACAGCGGCACGCTACCTATGCCTGTGTTTATGTGATAAAATCGGAGTGAGACCAGTGAGACCTAGTGAGTCGGAAACAATATAATCTGAAGATAAAAAAACCTACAGACATAAAGACCAATAATTTATGACTCCTAATGCAGTAATCAGGCCAATACTTAAAATAATTTACTACTATAACAGCTTATAAATTTTATAGCAAATTTGATAACACAAACTAGTAAGTAAAGATAATAATTATAATAAATAAAATTTAATAAATAGATTGAAAATGCTTGGAACCATGCTTCTGAATTGATTTCAAATAAACGCGTCAGACATTAAAATTTCTTTGCCAAATAAACCAGTTTGTAAATTACACAAAACCAGATCACCTTGAAGGCGTCTTGCTTTGAATTGTATTATGCCAAAAAAAGACGTAACTACAATTGGCACCTTGATAAAAAAAACATTTAAAAACTGGTCATTATCATCATCATCATCATTCAAGTTTACAGTTGAACATAGGCTTCCAGGAATGCCACAAAACACGGTTCTTAACCTCCTGCATCCATCGACTTCTTGCATGTTTTATCAGGTCGTCATTCCATCGACTGGGAGGCCGCTCGACACTTCGCTTAGGTTACCTACATATTAATACTGGTGACTTTGTGTGTTACCCGTGTAATAGCGGTGTAAGAATATCCAATGCACCGCATCGTCGCGTAGGTGTAGTAAGAGACGACAGAGGGAAACTGAAACAGGAGATGACCAGCAACATATTTGTTGATAGCAACTCAAAATTTGTAATATGTTACCCGCCTACCAAGCGTGGCAACTATGGCAAAACCCCTATCGCGTAAACATTTATCATAGTATAAATTGCACACGGATTAACACTCAGACCTGGATCTATAATTTTGTAGGCTATTTAAATACATGTTCCTTGTGAATTCGAACTTGCGGCCTACACCACTACAGCCAAATATGTAGCAACCGGGCCGTCAAATTTTAAAATTTCCAAGTAGCGCGATAAAAGGTAAAATATTAGAGTAAAAACTTACTTAAAGTTCACCTGATAATAAGTAGCTACTGCAGGCAATGGGCTACCTAACCTAACCAATTAAAAAAAGACCACTTAAACGTCTGTTAGGCATTTCATATTAGACGTCACCTTCTGAAGACCAAGTTGAAATACCATACAGTCATATTTATACTGGTTCTTCTTCTCTCGATAGTGAGTGATTTGCTCTGCTGCTTGCTGGCATACGAGTACAGGTAAGAAACTTACTATCACGTACATATATGTATACTGTACTATCTTCACAGAATTTTCGTCTTTTACGCTTTGTGAAGAAAAAAAATTTTTTTTATTATCAAATACCGTTTGTTACCGTGTTCGTAACGTTGTGCAAAAAATTCAATGTCAAGCATACATAAATCATTATGCCATGGATGACGCGATCAGCGAGACACACCTACTTTTAAGCCAATGAAATGTTTAAAGAACTTATCTTGATTAGCCTGTAAAAGCAAATTTTACATTCCGTGCAGAACCTGTTTTAGATCTAATACTAAAAGAACTTAACTCTACGCTTGCAATCAGTCAGCAGGTGCCATTTGTCTAACGCAGTGCTAAAACGCGCCAAGATCTGTACTTTTTTATTTAACAAAAAAATATTATAATGTCGTTAAATAAATCGTTTCGTGTTGCGGTCAAATTAAGTATAAGGAGTTATTGTGTACAAAGACCTTTTAAAAAAACCCCGAAAATCCTCATCACCGGTAAGTTACTCAGTAAAAATTAAATCGATAGAAGATCGGTGTATTTTATAATTATTTTTAAAGATACTTTAGGTTATTTTAAAGACGTGAATTTCGGCAACACACATTGGCGCAGCGTGGCGGACATTTCCTTGCTCTAAAACCCTCTCAGAAATGAGAGGAGGCCTGTGCCCAGCAGTGAGACGTATATAGGCTGTAACTCTAACTTTAACTTTTTTAAACTTAGATTACAAAATAATTCAAAAAGAGAAAGTAAACACTTGCCCTTACTTTTTATATTTAATTAATAGATATTTAATGAAATTGGATTTTAAAATAAAAATAGGTCAAAAAGGGATTTATCGAAAAGTATAGTAAAATAAAATACTATTCCTTTGAGTTTACAACTACATCAAGATAATTAGGTAATAAAACATGGCAACCTTAGCTTTCGCAGAGAGTAAAAGGCCTCGACATACTACAGAATACGAGTCTTAAAAATTGCTACAAATAACATTCTCAAAATATTTGAAGAAATGGACAAACAACGTGGTAATAACCTTAAGACGTATTCTTTTTTTCATTACCGATTCGTTACAATTTATCAAAAGTCCACTGCTGAATATAAGCCTCTCTATAGATTACCTCATAGAGGGGATATTTGCCATAGTTGCCACGCTTGGCAAGCGGGTTGGCAACCGCAGTTTTTATATTATAGTTATATGGGGTAGTGGATATTACACAGCCACTACACGTTTCTCATTATCTTAACTTAAAAAGATTACCAACACTGCACTTAATTATATACAACGTAATTTTACATAATAACCTACTTACTTATTGCCGCAAAACGTGAATGGCGCGTCAAATTAGGTCCAATAACGTAACATTAGACGTCACATAATAAATAATAGAACTACGTATCTACGTTTACTCTTCGGGTAGGTGTTTATTTACATCAAAACTAAACTACGCAAATTTATTTGGAAAATAAACGCATAAAACACAATATGAGTATTTATGATATAAATCGAGCTCGGTGTGCGGTTTTACTATAGAATAAGTGCTGTAACCTTCATTAGACTAGGTCCGACTAGGTAAGTCCAACTTCGACCGAGAGGTCAATCGACGGATTCAACTCGGTTGGGCAGCGTTCGGGAAATTACGGCACATCTTCTCGTCAGGTATACCTCAAAACTTGAAAACGAGACTGTACACCCAGTGCGTGTTGCCAGTGATGACATACGGAACTGAGACGTGGTCCTTCACTGCTGGCCGGATGAGGAAGCTCAAGGTCGCTCAGCGAGCTATGGAGAGGGCTATGCTCGGAGTTTCTCTGCGTGATAAACTCAGAAATGAGGATATCCGCAGTAGAACCAGAGTGACCGACATAGCCCAACGGATTAGTAAGCTGAAGTGGCAATGGGCCGGCCATATAGCTCGAAGAACCGACAACCGATGGGGAAGAAAGGTTCTCGAGTGGCAGCCTCGTACCGGCAGGCGAAGTGTAGGGCGTCCCCCCACTAGATGGAGTGACGACCTGGTAAGATTTGCAGGAAGTCGATGGATGCAGGTGGCTCGGGACCGTGCTTTGTGGCATTCTTTGGGGGGGGCCTATGTTCAGCAGTGGACTTGTGAAGGGCTGTAACGATGATGATGATGATGAAGTGCTGTAACCTAGTATAACGCGAGTATGATACAACGTAATCACTGCAATCTATACGTATAATAAGGACTTGTAATAATAATAGCTTTATAAATATCATCTTTCGACTGCCTAGTTGATTAAGCGGTCGAAAGCACGACAGCTGATCAAATGGTGACGGGTTCGAAACCCGGGTTCGGTCTAAATCAATTATATTAGTATATTTTGTGAAGAAACTTAGTACAACCCAGATTCAGGAAGTTCGCATTGTTTAACCTCCGTACTCCGAAAATCATCGGATATGGGACTGTCCTGCGCAGACGGCCGTGACCTAAATTGGTTTGAAAGACATTATTATTATTATTAAATATCACCTTCTCGTTTCACAATTTAACGTTTATGTTCGCTTAATTCAAACTATAATTCCAGTGGAGGAATTTTAAGTCCAGCTGTCGTCAGTCATAAATATTATGTATTATTAAAGAAGCTTCTCTTCCGTCTCTGCACAGGGAGAACGGTACTCACTGGCTAGTGCCGCAAAGAAGAAACAAAAGAAAATAAATTTACAAACTAAATTTTTATAGTAACGATTTTAAGAGTTGAAAAAAAAGTCAAAAATGTAAAACAAAGAAAAACTACCTGACTAAATTATTAATGAAAGCTATGTTAAATTATTACAACATTTTATGTACTGTACGAAAAAAAGAACAAAAAAATCACATTGCATATCGCTCTTTTGTCTTTAAAAAGAAAACACGTGGTATCGAGATCGCCCAAGCAATTAATAGTCGTGCCTTTCTGAAGCAACACCTTTATAATAAAATAGGGACCCGGTCCGGCTTCGCCTGGGTGGAATCTATCAATGTGGAGTATTTTTAGATTTAAGATAATAAAGACCATTTATTTTATAATATTATATGTTAAATTAATTTGCTACTTTAAAGTTTTAAAAGAATTTTAAAAATATTTACAGGCGGCCTGGGACAACTTGGCGTCGAGTGCGCAAAGTATCTAAGAGGAAAATACGGCAAAAACAACGTGATACTTTCAGATATAATAAAACCCTCAACAGAAATTTTCAACGATGGGCCATATATATTTGCCGACATCTTAGATTTCAAAGGGCTACAGAAAATCGTTGTAGATCACAGAGTGGATTGGTTAATACATTTTTCAGCGCTACTTAGTGCAATTGGCGAGCAAAACGTTCCACTAGCTGTAAGGGTCAATATAGAAGGGATGCACAATGTCATGGAGCTCGCTAAACAGTACAATCTAAGAATTTTTGTTCCTAGTACCATTGGTGCTTTTGGTCCAGACTCTCCTAGAAACCCAACTCCTAACGTTACAGTACAAAGACCAAGAACTATTTACGGTGTGTCAAAAGTGCATGCAGAATTATTAGGAGAATATTATCATTACAAATTTGGACTGGATTTCCGTTGTCTCAGATTTCCAGGTGTGATCTCCAGTGATCCACCAGGCGGAGGAACTACAGGTATCTTTTGATTCAATTTCGTATTACTTCCTATAATATTTACATATCTAGCATCAAGAATTTGTACACGTCTCCAGTATTTAAAAAGTAAATAGTAAAATTTATAACTCCAGTAGTTTAGTACATTTTAACGTAAGTTTAATAATTAATGATTATAACAAAAATAAACTGTTAGTTGTTCTTGAAAAAATAAAATGCAGTACGTACAGAACACGTTGAAAATGAAATAGTCGCTGAATACTCAAAACCACATCGGAATGGCTGACTAGAAAAGAAGAACTAGGAGCAAGTAGATGTCTTCTCGAGAAAACTAGCCGCTAGAGCCCTGTGTGAAAATTTTAGTGTTTTACGTAACTGACTAAAGAAGTAACTACTGAACTCGACTAAATTCCCTTGAATAGAATGTTAGAGGTGTACAATATGTCTGGTGATCGATGTCGAAGACGGAAACTTTGGGGTGGGTGGGGGGGGGGGGGGGGGAATACGGTAAATTTTAGCAACAAATCACTATCCCTATTTTTTCTCTCTCTCCATGATGAACTGCTCTCCCTCTCCACCAAAGTGCACCTCACAAACATCCGATGCCTGCACTGTAATCTCAATGCAGTCCACTACCATATTGAGACTGACAAGCTCTTACTCTTCTTGACTGAGACGCAGATCAGATGTCCTCTATATGTGGCGTACCTTGGTTATGATAGACACACAAGAATTTATAAAATTATTTATTCTTGTATCTACCGATCGCACAGCGGTGACCAGGAGACAACTAGGTTATTTGAGCACTTCAGTGAAGCCTCTGATGTGGCTCTATACCCTAATGCACAGTTGGTTTTTCTGGGGGACTTTAATACCTGTCATCAGGACTGGCTGTTCCCATACCAAAAGACCGATCACGCTGGGAGGGAGGCGTGGGACTTTGCCTAGTCGCTAGGCCTCTCCCAACTGGTACAATAAGCGACTAGGGTACTAGGCAATACGGGTTTCACCGAAATCGGTCAGCTGGGAATCTTCAAGCTCATGCCATACATGTATGGGGCGAGGCACTCGAGAACAGTGGGGAAGCACTTGCTGTTTCCCTTGATGTCTCGAAGGCCTTTGACAGAGTTAGGCACGCTAGCCTTTTGGGTAAGCTTCTAGCGTACGGGTCATCCCCTGGTCTGATTGAATAGGTAAAGGACTTTCTGAGTGAATGGTCTCTCCGGGTCGTCGTCGATGGCTGCTCATCCGATCCTGTGGCACTAACGCCGGTTTTCCTCAGGGGTCCGTTCTCCCCGCAACTCGGTATGCAGACGATAGCACAGTTATAGAGAGATACCAACCAAGTGCCCGGGCTAGTCGGGATCAAACTCAGTCCGAAAGAGAAGCTATGGTTGAGCGTGTGAATCTTACACTACAGGCAGTCTCCGAATGGGGCGATGCCCATCACGTGAAATTCAATGCCTCTAAAAGGAGCCCAATTACCCTGGCTCCTTTCCGGAATGTATCCATGAATTTTCTCCGAACTTCAATTATGGGCGCTTCATTGAGTCCAAAACCAAAGCAGCCGCAAGGAAACTTGGTGTCGTTGCAAGGGTGCGGCGGTACTTCACGCCGGGGTAAGAAGCTTCTTACCTTATATAAAGTGCAAGTACGGTTGTGCATTTTATACGTGGTAGAGCCATGCTGCAGCTATATTAATTGTATAGTTGTAGCACGAATGGGTCGACTCCACCGGGGAAGAACCACGCTCTCACAGAATACCAGCGTAAAATAGCAGCTTAACACTGCTGTGTTTCGTATGGTGAGTGTAGAGAACCGGAGACCCTTTTTCTGGATAAGAGGCATTCCATCATAGTCCTCACGGGTTTGCCATACGGCATTTTGATTCTTTATTGAGGATAAATGTAGATGTCTGTGGTCACAGCAACCACCATAAGGTGGACTGTGTGCTCGTTTGCCACCCTATCCTATATAAAAAAAAACCTTCCAGTCATGTCCCAGTTTGAAAGGTAAAAAATTCAGTATATTTACAGCCTATGTGAGACTTAATTCCACATTATATATTATATACTACACATTAAATGAAACTACACAGCACAGCAACCACTTACCATCAGGTGGCCTGTGTGCTCGTTTGTCACTCGATCCTATAAAAAAAATTGAGTACTGCTGTGACATATGGGCTGGTGCTGCAAAATACCACCTGGCAGCGTTGGACTCAGTGGAGAGACGTGCTAAGAGGCTCACTGGTGACCTTGATTTGATTGAAATTAACCTTGTCAGCCAGTCTCTGGGTATTATATAGAATGCATTTCGATGAGTGTGCGCAGGAATTACACGCTTTAACTCCTCTCTCTCTTTTCTACCATCGGACGACCAGGCGGTCGGCGGGTCTTCACCATTTTGTTGTCGATATTCCACGCATTAGAACCAAACGGTTTATTTCGACTTTTGTATAGTTGGGCTCTTTTAAATTTTTGGGCAGTTGGGTTTTTTAATTATCTATTGTGCTTGTACGATCTTTTTCAGTAGCCTAAGGACAAGGTCACGGTAATAACTAAAATATCGTATAAATTTTTTCGACACCTGAATTTAAAAAAGAAAACATCAAAATCGATGTACAATTGAGAAAGATATCGCGTATCATATATACAAAAAAAAATGTCAGAAAAATTCAGAGCCTCCTCCTTTATTTTTGAAGACGGCTATAACTTAACACTATGAATCTGCTAGCACAAATGCGTGACACTCCCAGACATTTTTGTGAATAATAGTAAGGTAAACATTATTTATTTATAGTGTTAATAACAACTAGTTTAATGAACGAATAAAATAATAACTAAGAATCCATCTGCGTAAAAGTAAACAGAGGTACACATACATGCTACATACATACATACATGCTAAATACATACGTACAGTCGAAAAACATTACCTCGCTTCTGAGGCAGTTGAATGGTAAAATAGAAAAAATATGCGCGACTTATCAAGACTGGCTTCTTCTAGCTTTGATAGATATTCATTCAAGTAGCACTACAAGTACTAATAAAACAATGAGAAAATCCATTTGAATTAAACTCCTCAGACTAATGATGCAATATTCCTAGCAAAATTAAGTAAAAGTGGCTTTCGATAACTGTCGCGAACCTCCCACTTTTTAATCAGGATAAGTCTAAGCATATGGGTAAGGACGGTTTATGTCGGACCTGCATTTACTAAAACCCTATGGTGTTCCACCTACGCTGCATATAATATACATTCGAACTTATCCGCATACCCACCAGCGCCCGTTCTTCTTGTGCTTCTTTTTTATAGAATAAGGGTGACTAACGAGCACACAGTCCATCCGATCGTACGAGTAGATACTGTGGCCCTTAGAAACCCTACATCTATTCTTGAACCAAAATGTAGAATATCCGTAGTTATGCCTCGTTTCCATTAAAAAGGGTCTCCAGGTATTCTGTGAGAGCGTGTCGAGTTAAATCGACCCATTCGTGCTTGTGCAGCGGTGTGGCACCACCACATTACAAAAATGTAAAACGCCTCTATGATGCAAGAGGGCTGTAACGATGATGACAATGACAATGACAGTTTCTAATTTTAAGGAGTAAAATCAATGTGTAAAATTGCAATTTTAAGTGCTGATTTACCGGAACCGGTGAAGGAAAACAGTGAGGGAAAAGGACTGTCCTGCATGTCTGAGGAACAAAAATATTTCGGATACATCACATCATGTCTGCCAACACGCATTAGCTGGTGCAATGCAGCAGACTTGCTTCATAACGCGCTTAGAAAGGAGAGGAGGTCTGCGTCCAGCAGTAGGACCACAGATTACAATAACTTCGTATATATTAGTTTACTTTCTTATACATTTAAAAATAAAACAACTCTCTTGTCTAGAGGCACGTGCCATTTTACTTAATCTAGTCGACACGACATGCGATGAATATATATAGGTTGATGAATAATTTTACATTACAACTTACATACACGTTAAAAATTGATTATTTTTCTATAGTTATTAAAATTAGGTATGTGAAGAAAAACGCTAGGGAGCTGCCAATCCAAGTTGATCACTAAATCACTCATACAAACATAAAAGTATTGAAACACACAATCTTTTGAAGTTCAAATATTAACAAAACTAAATTTGCTTGTAAGCAACATTTTGTAACGGATTGGAATAATTGCAATTTTCTTCTTGCTTGCGTCTAATTTCCATGTTTTGCAATAAACTGATTTATAATTTATAGTATACACTATACAGTCACCAGTCTATATTTTTCTATACGATAAGGGTGACAAACAAGCACACAGTCCACCTGATGGTAAGTGGTTGCTGTGGCCCATAGACATCTACTTACATCTATGCGTCGTCACCCATGAGGACTAAGATGGAATGCCTCGTTTCCAGTAAAAAGGGTCTCCGGTTCTCTACACTCACCATACGAAACACAGCAGCGTTACGCTGCTATTTTACCCTAGTATTCTGTGAGAGCGTGGTCCTTCCCCGGTCGAGTCGACCCATTCGTGCTACAACTATACCAGGAATATAGCAGTAGCATGGCTCTACCACGTAAAAAAACACCAGACGCGAAGCTTCAATGGAGCCCCATATATCTAAATTAGCAAGCAGATTTAGTTCTGCAGCATATGCTATAAAAATACTAGAAACATTACCACTGTGAAAACAGCTAGACTTGTTTACTTTAGCTATTTCCATGGCATAATGTCGTATAGTATTTTGCTATGGGTACACGCGACTGACACTGAAATTATAATTGTTTTAGATAAGAGCAATCTATAATTTAAAACCTAAAGAGACGGTCTTTGGTCTCTCAATACATTTATGAAAATGTAAAGTAGGTGCACAAGACACAAAAAGTAGTTAAAATAAGTGATATTCATTCTGTAAATACTAGGAACAGACGCAAACTAGTAGCAAGTACCAGTTACTCGACTCCAACGAGTTAGTAATTAATTCTTGGAGCGATGTACGAGTATGCGCTTTTACAACAAGTTCCCAGAAAATATTCAAAATTTAACCTGCTTAAAGTTCAAAAACTTTACTAAACAAAGTTTGTTATAAAAAGGGTTATTATAATATTAAGTAATTTATAGATGATAATAACGCCTGGGAATGAGGTGATCGCTACCAAGCTATTTATAATTTGTTTTAAGTAGTTAATTGTGTAAGATACATGATTGTAAACTGTTATTTAAAAAAAGAAAGTTCCGCTGGGTTTCTTGCTGGTTCTTACTAGGACAGAGGTTTTCTCGAACCCGTGGTAATTAAACAAAAGAGTGACTTTCAAAAAGTATTATTTATAATCTATATCGAATAAAAGAGTTTCTGTTTCTGTTTCATCAGATTATGCAATCGCGATATTCCACGAAGTGCTCCGTAAAGGTCATTACGACTGTTACTTGAAGCCGGATACCAGATTGCCAATGATGCATGTCAAAGATGCCCTGCGAGCACTTTCAGAGTACTTAGAAGCACCTAATGAATCCTTAAATAGAAGAGTCTACAATGTGACGGCAATGAGTTTTACTCCAGAAGAGTTAGCCAAGGAGATGTTTAAATACTTATCTGGTTTTACGATTTCGTATAGACCTGACGACAGACAAAATATTGGTGAGTATCTAATACAACATAAAATGTTTTAAAAAACAGCAGAGTGGGCGTCGGACTCGCGCATGAAGGGTTTTCAGTAGGGGAGCCCCCTTTAATTTTTAATTTTTATTTATTTGTTGTTGTAGCGGCAACAGAAATATACATTCTGTGAAAATTTCAACAGTCTACCTATTGCGGATCATGAGATACCCGCCCGCTGACAGACAGACAGACGGACAGCGGAGGCTTAGTAATAGGTTCCTGTGTTTACCCTTTGGGTACAGAACCCTAAAAAGGAATGTAAACTTTTTTTCCATTACCTGCAATTTCAACTTCCTTGGTACTTCACTTTTAATGTAATACTTTTTATTAAATAAAGCACGAGGTTCTGCCAAAATCTCACAAATGCTGGTGATGGATAGATCACTAGTGCGAAAGCATCGTTATTGCGCCCAAAAACTTTTCTGATCTGAGTGAGACAGACCTAACGGCTTGAGACGATCTCAACCAGTCAAACCATAAGTACATAGGTAAGCAGATAATACTATTACAGAGGAAGATCTTCCTCTCCTGTCATTCATGTTAAAAAAAAGGTCAATCTATAATCTATTATATAAATAAAATAGAGGTTTGCAGTTGTGCGCGCATCACGGAAAAACTACTGGATAGATTTCAATTAGGTTTTATATGTTTTATTTCTTAGACACAAAAATATTACGATATCTTCATTCAATATATATATATATATATATATATATATATATATTTATTTATTTATTTATTTAATCAAAAAAAATTTATATAAATATTAATATATTGTTTGTTAATATATCAACGAGTTTGTGTAATAAAACACAATAATGCTGGGGAATTACTGCGTGTCTATGAATAAATTTAATTGACTAAAACGCCCGTGTAGTGGTAGCGTGAGATAATCCACTAGTCCATATCATCCCGTGGGTGTCGTAAGAGGGAGAAAGGCTAACTGAAACAGGAGATGTGCCGAGGCATCTCCATGATAACAGCTTAAAAGGCCGGCAACGCATCTGCAATTCCCCTAGTTCCCCTGGTGTTGCAGTTGTTCATGGGCGGCGGTAGTCACTTACCATCAGGTGAGCCGCATGCTCGTTTGACCCCTCTCCTATAAAAAAAAGCTCAAAATAACATCATAGAGCACGCCTATGTTCAGCAGTGTACTTTAAGGGGTTGTAATGTAATGTATATTAAGGTCGATCTTCATCATCGATTTAAAGTTGGGAGAAAGCAGATATAGGGCCCCGAAATAATTTTTTCAAGAAAGTATTTTTGTGTTGATGATACCGGGTATTCAAAGACCCCGCTGAAATAAGTTTTTCGATCACAAGTGTAATTTTAATGCTTTCAGCTGATTCTTGGCCACAAGTATTCGATGACAGCGAGGCGCGGCGTGATTGGAATTGGAAGCCTGAAGTGGACATGGATAATCTCGTGAAACTTATGTTGAAGGAGGTAAAAGAAAAAATAGACGCCAACGGGTTTTGAATATAACCTATGAATGTTTTTAATTGCTATTTGGAACGTTATTCCTACTCAAGTTAAATGAGGTTAGGTACCTTTATTTTTCATGTTTTTTTTATAGGATAAGGGTGACAAACGAGCACACAGTCCACCTGATGGTAAGTGGTTGCTGCGGCCCATAGACATCTACATCTATCCTCTGTTACAAATCAAAATGTAGATGCGTTGTCACCCGTGAGGACTAAGATGGAATGCCTCATTTCCAGTAAAAAGGGCCTCCGGCCACCTGCACTCACCAAGCGAAACGCAGAGGTAAACCTCTACTTCACGCTGGTTTTCTGTGAGGTCGTGGTACTACCCCGGTTCGAGCCGGCCCATCCGTGCGACAGCAAAAGCTGCCGCGTGGCTCTACCACTGTTATATATATAATATACTCATAAACATCGTATTGCGCCAACCCACAGTTGGACATAGGCACGAAGGCCTATGTCATTCATGCATCAATTTGGAGAGAAATGTAGCCAAAGAGCAATCCCACATATGTGTGGCCCGCCTATTGCCACAGCCAACCCATGCAGTGGTGAGAATTTGACATAGGTGTATGAATATAGAAAAAACAAAATACCAGCGTAAAATGGCAGCTTGACACTGCTGTGTTTCGTATGGTGAGTGTAGAGAACTGGAGACCCATTTTACTGGATAAGAATCTTAGTCCTCACGGCTGACAACGCATCTGCATTTTAATTCGCAAACGAAGATGATGATGTAGATGTCTATGTGCCACAACAACCACTTACCATCAGGTGGACTGTGTGCTCGTTTCTCACCCTTATTCTATAAAAAAAAAAACAACAAAAATTAACACAAAATATAAGGTACCTAATCAACATATTATATCATTAGTATTATGTTTAAATATTCAAATTTATTTGTTAAGATAAAATTGTTTAATTAAATACTTGTTTAACAAGAATAGTCTTTCCTTTTCAATTTTTATCTAGTATACATTTTTGTCTGGTATATTATGTACTGTTTCTTTATTATGATAAAATTTTGCCAAGACAAAGACAAGAATTCTGTCTATACTAACAAAGGAAAAATACTAGTTACTAGCCGATCCGCCCGCGACTTCTTTCGCGTGGACCATTGCCGACTCTAAAAAATATTTTCCATTAGGGTAGTTACAATTTTGACGCGTCAAATTTAGGTATTCGAGTCACAATCCGACTTATGTACGCAACATGAAAACAGTTTTCACTATATTTTATATATTATATCAAACTAAACTTGATACTTGCTCAGACCAACAAAGGATGAAAGACGGAGGACATTTCAAGTGAAGCCGCAACCATGGTCAAGTTCTCCACACGCACGGTCGCACACATATTTGTTTTTTCTTTCTTTATAAGCCCATAAAAATATATTGATGGATGCACATAATTATACACACCTTGAACCAAGGCAATGGTTGACTTTATATGCATACATTTACGTGATTGCGTGCAATAAGGTGATACTGAGAGCATGGTTATTCGCTCTCACTCAGGACGGAGCATGGTTTTACATTCCGTTTATCTTTCTTTGTTGGTCTGAGAATTCTTGAAGTATTTACAAGTAACAAGTATATAGTAAAATGTGGCATGATAATAATGTGCTTATTATTTGTGAATTTGAGAGTGAAGTGCGGGATCAGCGTTTTTACAATATAATATTGTACGCGACGCCAGCACGCGGCAATACACATGTAGGGTGGGCCCCCATATGGGCACTATGTTAATACAGCCAATATTACCATACATGTACGGATTGTATGTGCGTGTGTGAGTGATGAATCTTTTTTATAAGCTTATTATTTATTTTCACTAAAGATTACCTTTGGTAAAGGCTCTCTAACTAACGTCATCCAAGATGACGGATGGAATTCATATTTAGAGATGCATTTAAATGCAACATAATATGATGAATCAGTTCATTAATCAAAAAATGTTAATGCATAGTACCTAGTACCTACTTTACTGTGCAAAGCTTGATGAAAAACCAAAAATACAACCGGGAAATGTATCGTCACCTATGCCGCAAATGGGCGAATCTCAATTCTTAAAAAATTGCAGGAGAGCAAGAAAATTTTTATTTTTTCCCGATTACTAGCTTTCTTTCATCAGAAAATTTAAAATATTAAATTTAATGGAAAACTACTAATACGATCATGTTGTATGATAACATGATAGTAGAACTAGACGATGAACACAGCTTTAATGTGTAACACATTAAAGCTCCAGAAATTACCTACTGTAACAAGCAAACAAGCTTTGAAAAAAGATAGGCCTTATCGTCTCGTTTCGTTTTGCCCGGGCTCTCTGTTTATCTACTGTTCTCTTAGAGTTACGCCCTTTTACTGACTTGCTAGTAGTGCCTACATGTAGAATAATAAAAATTGTAACTTTGACATTAAAATGTTAATACATGATTACTGAAGTCTTCATACTTAAGCTCAGTGCGACTGGTGATCATGAGGTCCTTCGAATCCCGGAATGGGCCAAAAAATTCAGTTAATGTGTTTTTCCGTCACGAAATTCTCAGTAGCTGACCGGAATTAGGAATTTGGCGATGTCTTATACCCGTTCCTTGGAGAGCAAGTAAAGTCGTTTGTCCTGCGCCTGATCTCTGATAATGAGAGTGAGGGAATAGATAGTTTACCTGTGCTTGCGCATCTACTTGGGCACTATAATCATATCCTGCGCCGATGGCTAAAGAGAAATTCGGTCTGGAGGACATTCGGTATTATTGAATGAATTTAAAGGTTCCTTTAAGAATTTAGCATGCGTTCTCTTGACTGTAATATACCTGTACCTAAGAAGCATGAGTGTAATGTTTTAAAAGACGTTTCTATGTCTACTCTAAGCTCTACTACTTTTGTCCAGTTAATGGAAGTACCAGATTTATTGTCTTTCCGTAGACTTATCATCTTTTTATTTTGAGATAACTCTTCGTAATCTTTAAATTCAAAATATTGTAATGGTTAAACAATGTACGGGCGTGAAGATCTTGCCATTTGAATAATGGGATACCACTCGTATCGTTAAATATTTTACAACTATTGATGATAAGAAAACGGCAGGCTTATGGAGGATTTCCGTTAAAGTTATTTTATCTATAATAGATACAATAGCACCTTATCTAGCCACTATATTCAATACGAGTCGAATCTGGTGTTTCCTGATTCAATGAAACATAGTAAAGTGATACCTTTATTTTAATCTGGTAGTACATTAGACCCCGCCAATTTTCGACCAATTTCTGTACTACCAACATTTAGTAATAATATGTTTGAAAAAATAATTTTAGATCAGATATTAAGTTTCTTTAATATTAATAAATTGCTACATAAAAATCTATTTGGTTTTAGAAGGGGTCGCTCGACAACTGACGCTGGATTTGAGCTTATTAAACATATTTTTTGTGCATGGGAGAATTCAGAGAATGTTTTGGGTATATTTTGTGACCTTTCCAAGGCCTTCGATTGTGTTCACCATGAGATATTAATCAAGAAGCTACAGTACTATGGTGTCAATAACACAGCGCCTCTACTTATTATTTCATATTTAAGTAATAGAATGCATAAAGTTATTATCAATGGTAAAAGTTCTTCCGGGTCACCTGTACTAATGGGTGTCCCTCAGGGCTCTATTCTCAGCCCATTCCTATTTCTAGTGTATATTAATGACTTACTTTCCCTTGTAGGGGATAACCATGATATAGTATTATTTGCTGATGATACTTCCTTGATTTTTAAACTTAAACGTCAATCATTTAAATGTGACGAAGTAAATAATGCTATATCAATATTAGTGCATTGGCTTAACGTTAATAATCTACATTTAAATGGAAACAAAATTAAATGTATTAAATTTACAACATCGAATGTTAAAAATCTGAACACCAATGTGTTTTTAAATGGGGAAGAACTGAGCCCTGTTGAATCCACTGTTTTTCTTGGCATCACTCTCGACGCAAAGCTTCAGTGGGGCCCCCATATGTCCAAACTAGCAAGCAGACTAAGTTCTGCAGCCTATGCTGTAAAAAAGATTAGAGGTCTCACTATTGTCGAGACAGCTAGATTAGTTTGTTTCAGTTATCTCCATAGCATAATGTCTTATGGGATTTTGCTATGAGGAATTGCGGCTGATTCAGAAACTATTTTTGTTTTACAAAAGAGGGCCATTAGAGCTATTTAAAACCTAAAACCGAGAGAGTCTCTTAGAGATAAATTTAAAGAAATAAATGTATTAACTTTGGACTCTTAGTATATTTACGAAAATTTAATGTATGTTCACAAAAACAAAGGTAGTTTTAGTAAAAAAAGTGATAATTGAAAAAAATGATGATTCTGTAAACACTAGGAACAAACATAAGCTAGTGATACCAGTTTCTCGACTCCACAGAGTTAGTAATTCATTCTTAGTGCAATGTATACGCTCTTACAAGGTCCCGGAAAGTGTACAGGCTCTCTCTACCACCAAGTTTAAATGTTTTATTAAGCTGAAACTGTATAAAAATGGTTATTATAATATAAATTAATACACGGTTGATTGATAATAGCCCCTGGGAATGAGGTGGCTACACGGCTAATAGTGAGACAGTGTTATTGAAAGTGTGCCCCATTGTAGTGCGCGGACCGCAAAGTAGTGAGATTGAAACCTACGCGCTCCTCGACGAAGTGTTCACAATCTCAATATTTGATGACGGATTAGCTCGTGGACTAGGTGAGGAAGGACCGACGAAGCCGCTTAACAGTCGCATACATGGCGTATCAAATAGTCAACGTGAGGTTAGTAGCCGCGTAGTGAAGATAGGAATACGTGGTGGGACTAAAAACGATACGTATGTAGTTAGTGCTCGGACGATTAATGCTCTTACGGTAGTAAAGCAGTCCATCGGTAAAGAGTGCTTACGGTTGAAACACTTGCGTGGGTTACCAACAGGAATATACTACGATAATCGAAAGAAATCGAAGCCTAGTGTTA